GAAAGAGAAGAAAAAATGAAAGGAGGAGGAGGGAGGGAAGAAGTAAGAAAGGAAAGAAGAAATAAAGAAGGGAGGGAGGGAAAAAGAGGGGGGAAGGAAAGAAAAAATGAAAGAGAAGAAAAAAATGAAAGGAGGATGAGGGAGGGAAGAAGTAAGTAAGAAAGGAAATAAGGGAGGGAGGGAGGGAGGGAAAAAGAGTGGGGAAGGAAGGAAAGAAAGAAAAATGAAAGAGAAGAAAAAATGAGAGGAGGAGGGAGGGAAGAAGTAAAAAAGGAAAGAAGGAAGGAAAGAAGGAAATAAGGAAGGAAGGAAGGCCTGAAGACAAAAATTGTGACATGGGTCTCAGAGAACAGACTAACTCACAGGTCTGCAGCCTGTGGCTCCGGAGCCGCACGTGGCTCTTTCAGCCTCCGCCGCCATTTGCAGAAAGAGACAGAGAGGCACTTGCGCTTCCCCTGTTTCTTTCTTTCTCTCTCCCTGTGTGTTTGTGTTTGTGTGTGTGTGTAAAAGTAAGTAAGTAAAAACAAGAGGGGACTCACGGCCTCCTCCCACGAGGTGAAAAGCTTACTGGGCGTGGCTCCTCCCTCGGCTGCGTCTCCTGCAGGAAGCAGGAAGCAGGAAGGGGAGGAGCTAGCTAGCCCAGCCATGCTGGCTCAGGAATTCTGGGAGTTGAAGTCCAGGAGTCATAAAAGAGCCCAGGTCGCCTCCCCCTGAGCTGGTTGGAGAACAGCTTGAAGCCAGCTGGCCGGGTGAGCAGAAGAAGGGAGAGAAAGAGAGAAAGAGAGAGGAAAGAGAGAAAGGGAAAGAGAGAAAGAGAAAGAGAGGGAGAGAAAGAGAGAAAGGGAGACTGGCAGACTAAGAGCAGAAAGAGAGAGGGAGAGGGAGGGAGGGAGAGACAGAGACCCTTTTGATATCTAAAATGAAGATAACACTGCATATATCCTTTTTTACCTTTATTATATATATTTGGGCCGACAGGGTGCACCAAACTCAAAGATATATTTATATATATATATATATATATACACGTATGTATGTATGTATGTATGTATGTATGTATGTATGTATGTATGTATATGTATGTATACATATGCTCAGTAACTCTTTTTACTTACAAGTTTGTTTATATTAAACGGTCTTGTTTATTTTTATCCTGGTGTTTGTTTTTCTATACTTTTATTGATATATGTATGTATATATACCTGTAATAAAGGTAAAAAAGGATATATGCAGTGTTATCTCCATTTTAGATATCAAAAGGGTTTTACGGCTCCCAGTGTTTTGTTTTCGGTGGGAAACGGGTCCAAGTGGCTCTTTTGAGTGTTTTGGGTTCTGCCCTATACCATTTCAGACAAATGGCTGTCCAGACTTTTCTTAAAAATCTCCAGTGTTGGAGCATTCACAGCTTCTGGTGGCAGGCTGTTCCACTGGTTAACTGTTCTAACAGTCAGGAAATTCCTCTTTAATTCCAGGTTGCTTCTCTCCTTGATTAGCTTCCATCCATTGCTTCTTGTCCTGCCTTCTGGTGCTTTGGAGAATAGCTGGACTCCCTCTTCTTTGGGGCAGCCCCTGAGATATTGGAACACTGCTATCATATCACCCCTACTCCTTGTTTTCTTTAAACTAGACAGACCCAATTCCTGCAAATGTTTTTTCTATGTTTTAGCCTCCAGTCCCCTGATCATCTTTGTTGCTCTTCTCTGCACTCTTTCCAGAGTCTCAACATCTTTTTTACATCGTGGCGACCAAAACTGGATGCAGCATTCCAAGTGTGGCCTTATCTTCCTTTGCACGTTCATTACCCCTTGTTTTTTTCTTCTTCGACCCAATCCATTCTTCTTCCTCTTTGGACAATCGGGCGTAACTCGAAGGCAGACGCTCAAGCGAGGCATTGCAAACCCCATTCAGCTACATCACCAGAACTTCTGCTTTGCAACTTGGAAAGCGTGCTAAGATTGCTCCGGTTCTTGGTCGCACGGACCAACGTGGCTTTCCTTCTGGACTTCTTCTTCTTTTCCAACCAGACCCAGATGCAGAGATCCACCAGCTCTTCAGCCCACCTGCCCACAGAGGTGTTTAATCCATCGAGGGATCGAGGGATCTCTCGGTCTGACGGGTGGATGGGGGTCAACGCAAGGCTCTCTGAAGCTAGCGCTAATTGCTCTGCAGGCGCCAGATCGATGCAAGAATTTTAGCCATCCATCACCCTCCCCAGAGGGCACGGAGAAGGTCCTTGACAGAGATCTTTTTTTTATAACAGGACCAAGGAATTAACCCAACAATCCACAATTTTTCTCTCAAAGCTGCTCTAAAGAATCGGGTCTCCGTCTTGCTGGGACCAGCGGAGTTACTTCCGAGTGGCGAAGACCACTTTACAAAGAGTGTCTCTCTTCTTCTGCTCCGTTTTCCCACCGGGGTTATGTGGACCTCCCTGAAAACCCATCCCCAAAAGATCCACATTTTGCTCAGCTCCAAGAAAGTTCAAAGTTACAACAGCCCTGAAAATAAGGGAATTACAACCAATTCCCAAACTTACGACCACTTGCAACGTCTCCGTGGTCATGGGATCAAAATTCAGATCCTTGGCAACGGACTCATATTTATGATGGTTTCGCAGTGGCCCGGGGTCACGTGATCCCCTCTTGCGAACTTCGGACAAGCAAAGTCAACAGGGAAGCGAGATCCACTCAACAACCGTGTTGCTAACTTAACTTGTGGTGGTAAGTCAAGGACTATCTCCAGGTATTCAACTCAAGCCTTTGAGGTCCCCCCGGATATATATAGGACAGTACAATAACTGTTGCATTGGCTGCTGTGTGGAGGAAAACAAAGCTGACTGGATTGGATGGAAGACCACCAGGAGTTCCCAGAGAAAAAAAACGAAGCTCGAAAATATTCCAATTGTCTTTACCTTTTAAGCTCTCTCCTGAAAAAAAAAACACCTTAAATATCTGTTGAAGACTTGAATGAAAAGCCATTCAGAAACTCCAGGAGGGGAAACAAATTTTTTTCTGCTGCCGAGAAAGCTGCATGGATTTATCTAGGAAATTATCGGAAATGACCAGATTTCTCTCTTCAGACAAAGCAGAAGCAGGACTATGAGACACATTTTTCCCCACTAACTTCTCGGGCTGGGAATGTGATGAACAACATTTTAACGAGTCACACAGATGAGGGAACCAAAACAGGGTGTGTGTACAGAGGGAATAAATCTCTGGAAAAGGTTCACAAATTATTTTGGACAGAGTCTCCGCTGCCTCTCCACCCATCTCAGTAAAAACTCATTCTGCAAATTAAAGGGGGAAAAAGTGCATTTAACTCTTTGAGGGGAGCTGACACAAACCGGTCAGTTTCAAACTCTCTTGCAGAAGTTCCGATCTCAGAAAAAAAGACCTGGAGGAAATTTTTTTTCTGCAAACAAAACTTTTCGGCAGAATGAGAGAGCTTTCCAGCTGTGCCTTTGGTTAGACAACCTTTGTCTATTTTTTTTTTTTTTTTAATGGATTTACACACCTTCTTAAGCCAAAAGAAATCTGAGTGATGATTCAGAAAGGTGGGGACGGTGGCTTTTGGTTCCCCTCTCCAGAAAGGGGGAAATTTTACCCAGTCGGATTGCCAGATTCCACCTGGGAATTCTGCACATTTTGCCCTTCTCCAAAAAAAGGGAAGGGAAGAAGGGAAGGGAAGGGAAGAAGTGTCCTCCCCCACCTGAGTATGCCAGTCATCCCCTCCCGCTCACTCACCTGCATGGAAATACGGACTCATCGTATACGGGAAACCGAACGGGAGCGGTTGGGGTGGTGGAAGGGAAGCCGTAGGGAGTAGTTTGACCTCCGACTTGCCCATTGTCGGACCCAGGAGATAGCTAGGCAATTCCACACTGGAGGAACTACAGGGCGTGTTCTGCCCAGCTGGCACCTCACCCAGTTCTTTGGTGCCCTCGCCAGTCTTTGCCACCTCCTTGCACTCCTTAACCTCGCCGGCCCCGCCGCTGTTCTCGGCCTTCAGAGCGTCCGGTTTCTCGTCGTTCGCTTCGGCCTCGCTGTCCGAGTCCTTCATTTCCTCGTGGTTGCTGTCCAGCGGGCGGCTGTCTAACAAGTCTTTGGGTTCGCTCTGGCCCAGCGCCTCGCAGCGAGAGTGCGCGGCCTTCCGGGTGCCCCTCCGCGTGCTCTGCTCCTTGGGAGGGGTGGTGGAGGCGGTGGGGACCCCCTGGGGGTTGAGCGATAGCAGCGGGGCGTTGTTGTGCCGGAGGACCAGCATGGCGTTCCTCCGGGAGAGCTCGTCCCGAAGCGGGTGTCCTTCCGGGATGTCGTGGAGGCTGCGCAAGGCGGGGTGGTCCGGAGGCAGACCCGGGTGCAAACCCATGGGGTCGGTAGCCAGGAGCCTCTGGCGGTGAAGGTTCTCCAGTTCTTTCTGCCGGATAATTTCCGCCGACATCTCAAGCCTAGGCGGGCAGGGAATTGGGTTTGGGAGAGAAGAGACGTAGCTGAAATCCCACTTCTGCCACCAATGATTACATGTAGCCTCGACAATATTCCTTTAGTGACCATTGGAAGTTGCAAGGGCACTGACTTACCGTATTTCTCCAAAAATAAAACCCGGTCTTATATTAATTTTTTGCTCCAACAGATGCATTAGGGATGATTTTCCCAGATGCATTAGGGATGATTTTCCGGTTAGGTCTTCTTTTCGGAGAAATACGGTACTAAATACGCCTGTCTGGTTGATGATCTTAACTGGGACTTATTTTTGGGGTGGGGCTTATATTATGAGCGTCCTGAAAAATCATGCTAGGCTTATTTTGCGGTGGGGTCTTATTCTCGGGAAAATAGGGCACGTACCATTTTCCACACAACTGTTGTGGCACCCCCATAGACACGTGATCGAAGTTCAGACGCTTGGCAACTGATTCATATTTATGACGGTTGCAGCGTCCCAGGGTCACGTGATCCCCTTTTGCCAGCTTCTGACAAGTCAATGGGGAAGCGTGGGTTCACTTAACAACCGGGTCGTAAAATGGAGCAAAACTCATCGCAACAGATTTTTTTGTCTTCAATTGTGGTTGTTTCCCTCTCAACTTCAAGAGCCTTGCCTCTAAAATGGGATCCAGTCAGCGGCCTCAGGGGGTGGTGCTGAGGGATGCTTCTTAAGAAAATCTAAAGCAATCCAAAAGGGTCTACTTAAGCCTGGCCAATTTGTCAAACTGGAGATCCTGTTCAACATGAATCACACTTGGAAGGAGGAGAGATTTTTCCACCCTTCAAACATCCGGCAACACAGCACCTTTCAAATTATTTCCCAATCTCTTCCACTTTGTTTTCCCCAATACTCTGTCTGGGCTCAGCGGTCGAGCAAGCTTTATTAGTACTTGGAAGGGAGACCACAAGGAAATCACAGATGGAGATACTGGGAGGAAATGGGGGGAACTAGCCCCCAAAATGAATGGCAATGTGAAATTGCTTCCACATAAAGAGACTTTTCATGAACTTTGCTTTTAGTTCTTCCTTCG